AGATTTACAACCCCACCATGACAGTGCAGAACGAAGAATTCCAGACAGACGCATCTGGATTTGCTTCCAGACCCACTCAGTTCCGCCTGGAGTTTCTGAGAGAGGATCAAGACAGAGCATTCGACCATGAGACCTCCACCTTTCAGACATTCCATGCACATGACCAAGAGCCTTAAGATCTCAGCAACAAACCTCTTTTTATTAGAAAAAAAAATATTTTTGAGCTGAAAATGTTACTTTTAGTTGAAGAGTCTATGGGAAAAGACTGTTTTTAAAATTACATTTTTTGAACTTTGAAACTGAACATTTGGAGTAATGAAATTAGTGAACATAACAGATAAACACAAATGTAAATACAAATATGTGAAAAACACAACCAACAATACCAGGAACCAGCATTTTTTGATAAACATGTTAAGGTACTGTATTTTAACTGAACATACTATATAGAGAAACGGTGTACGAAGAGCTTAGAATAAATAATATAAATATACTTCTACTTATTCAAACATCAGTAGAAATTGCAAGCAATCAAAAGCTATTGTCTTAAGAGTATGTGTACTCTAATTTAAAAAAAAAAGGATAATCACAAATTTTTTGATGCTTTGATACTTTTAAGCAAAGATTTTGTCTGTTACTTTTTTTTTCTTCTTATCTGAATTGCTGACGGTGGTCCATCCAGCATCTCGCATTCTCTTTATTGCAGCCAGTTTCAGCACTGTTCCTGGAGACTTACATGGAAAAGAACTCTGCAACTGTAAATCATTTGCACATGATGACAGTCAAAACAAGAACATAAAGGAATAAAATTGGGACAAAACTGGTCAAATGTTATTTTTTACCTTCTTGAACATGTCCAAACTCCCTGTGTCTGCCTCTTTTGGTTGCATAGGTTTCTTTGATTTCACAGGTCTTGGAGAGAAACTCTAACGGAATTACGAAAGAGTAACACAAACCAAGTAAAACTGACTGTAAATAAAAATGCAGATCACTGAAAAACTGTTTGTAAATAGCACTATACCAATGGTATGTAAATAGATAAAATTTACCAGTATGTCATTGCTGTCTGAGTTGTCTGATTTTGGATCCAGCTTCAGAATGTTTTCCTTCCAAGACCCTGTAATCTCAGGTGTGGGTGGTGTGCGAATTCTGAATGACTGAAGTGGAAAACAAACTGGCTCATATAAATGTTCAAGATGAATGATGAATAGTGCAAAGAGTTCAGGTTGCCCCCATACCTTTATTTGAGGTGTTGTTTTTGTCGTTTTGCTCCATAATGGGGTATGAAGGTCTTTATTCACCGTTCCCTTGCATCAATAACAAAAAACAAAAACAAACAAAAAACACACACACACACACACACACACACACACACAAAAAGTTGATAGATGTGAAAAATAAGAATGCACAAAATGGACAAAGATAATGGGAAAAAACCTACAGCAGGAGTGTAAGATGCATTTCTTGATGCTTCATTTTCATCCTCATTTAAAAGTTCATACACGGCCTTCTTTGTGATGTCAGCTTTTTGAGTTTTAGAGATCTTGTTTCTTCCTTTCTTTGGTTTGATTTCATTTGCCTAAAACAATATTTTCATATTGCACTGTCCATTTTAAATTGCCATGTACAGTATACTTACGGTATCTCAAATGACAAGATACAACACCTGTTGAAGTGTGTCTTTTTCAAGAGATGAGACTGGTGTCCTCAAGGCCATCTTCTCTCCTTTGAGCTTTTCAAGTTGTTGTCTAAGCTCTTCATTTTCCACTTGCAGGTGAGACAGCTCCAGTTCCTACATTTATCGGTTATTTGGTTTTTAGCAGACTTGTAAATCAAAAAAATGCACATTATCTACTAAAATGACAATAGTGCTACAGCAACCTTGGATTAAATATCTCAAGGACACAACTCAGCATCAAAGATTCCAATTAATTTATAAATCCATATTTTCGACCTAGGACTCTATAATTAACATCTCAGGCATCTAATGACTATGTTATTTTGAGTATGATATTCATTTCAAGCTTTGGATTGCAAGTTGTCAAGTTAAGCCATAAAAAGGTCAAATAATTACCAGAGATGCTTTGCTTGCACTGACTTCAGCCTCTCTCATCCGTTTTTCACTCAGCTCTGCATCTTTTTCTTCTACCATTTTGTCATACTCATGCTACCAAGAAAAGAACAACATTTAAGTGAATAAAAAGTGTTTAAGAACTGAAAATATTGTATAATTTCAGAGGCCACTTATTAAGAATATTAATGACCTTGTGCCTCTCCATCAAAGCAACCATGTCTGATATCTTCTGC